CACGACAAGCAGCTCCAGCAGCACGACTCCTCAGGCGGGTACGCAACGCAAGCCACTTTCGTGCCTGCTGTGGTGAGACAGGCCCGCGTCGTGAAACGAGACCCAGAGGAACGCCAGCAGACTCAGCACCCCACGACCCGGCACCCTCCGGCTCAGCACCCACAGACTCCGCAGCCGCAGGCTCAGCACCCCCAGGCTCGCACTCCCCAGCACCTCACGCGCAGTCTCAGCACCCCCAGATGCAGCTCCCCCAGCAGCACCTCCCGCAGCAGCACCTGAGTCGCTAGTGACCTCTACGGGCTCAGCAACGGGGGGCGGGTCTACCTGAGACACACCTGAAGGAGCAGGACCCTGAGGGGGGAGGGGGTCTACCGGAGGGGGACCTGGAGCGAGGAAAAGCGGCGGGGGAGGGAGAGGTGCAGTGCGGTAGGGGAAGAGACGGTAGAAAGGAACCGACTCGTCAAAGGTGACGTCCTGAGAGGGGAAGACACGGCGCGAGGTGGGGTGGTAAAACTGCCAGCCAGGCGCGTCAGGGACAAAGCCAAGGAAGACACAGGGAATGGTGCGGGAGGAGAGCTTGTCCGCGGACGTATCGCGGACAAGGGCACGAGCACCCCAGACTCGGAAACGCGACGCATCGCCAACCTTCCCCGTCCAACGCAGTCTGGGCGAGGTCTCCGGCAAGGAGACACGGGGCCAGAGGTTGAGCTGCTGCGCGGCGTACCGGACCGCAAACGACCACAGAAAATGGGGAGCCGCCGCATGGATCAAGGAGGTACGAGCGACCTCCATGACTAAGCCAATGCAGCGCTCAGCAACCCCATTTTGCTGCGGTGAGCCCGGAAGCGTGAACGACTGCTCGATGCCCTCCCCCTGACAGAAGGCCCGCAAGAGGTCGGAGGTGAACTCACCACCTCTGTCAGAATGCAGACGCAAGACAGGAAGGTCCTGGCGGAACCTGTGGCGGAGTTGGAGACGAACTGATCGGATCCAAGGGATCAGGACAGCAGGGACCTCACCCTTGGTGCACAAGGGGAAGACCGTGGTGTAACGCGAGTAGTCGTCAACAACCAGCAGAAAGTACCGCTCACCGCCCTGTCCACGAACGTGGGCTAGGCCCCATACGTCCAGGTGGAGGGTCTGTAGAGGAGCCTCTGTCGGGGGAAACGAGGAGTGAGGAGCGGCGCGCTGCCGCCCCTCGACGCAAGGAAGGCAGGGTGACGCAGGCGAGGCAGGGAGGGGAGGGAGAGACCTGGGAAGACCAGACACAAGGAGGCGACGGTGCATGCCACGGAGACGTGGCAAGGAGGGGTGACCCAGGCGGTGGTGCCAGAGAAGAGTCTGGTGCGACAGGGAGCGACACTCCCAGGGGGAGGCTACGAGACCTGACGCAGACACCTGACCGATAGCAGCTACCTGAGGAGACACAGTCTTCAGTGTGTAAAGACTCGACCCTGGCCGACAGGTGAACGTGGCCAGGTGACGGCCAGTCCGGGAGCACGTACAGATCGCCACACCCTGTCTTCCAGGGGTATAGGTGTCAACCCAATGATCCTGGAGGACGGCGTTGCTCACCAAGTTCGTCGAGAACGAGTGGAGGTGGAGACCTGACAGTGAGCCAGACGGAACCGCCAGGCACGGAAGCACAGTGGTGGACCGTGCAAGAACTGGGCCCCCTGAGGGGTCAGCCAGAGAGACTGCAACAGGTGCAGGGAGTGGTGTGAGTGTGGTACTGTCATGGAAGAAGCAGCGGGAAGCACCTGAGTCGAGCGTGAAGTTGTGCAAGGCCTCAGCAGGCGCAATACCTGAGAGAGCAGACTCACCAGCACCTAAGGCAGCAGCCTTACTAGCACCTAGAGCAGCAACCTCTATACTGGGGTCGTACTGCACACACAGGTAACAGTCACTCTCAGCACCACCAGGCAAAGCAGACATGGCAGTAAGGATGGCGTCATAGTCTAAAGCAAAGACATCAACGCCCGACCTGAGAAGCTCAAGCCAGTGGGGGGTCTCAGCCTCGTAGCCAAACTCTGCGTGCCAGGCGTCAGTCAAATAGGCAAAGCAGCGGGACCGTGCGTGACCAAGTGTCCCACAGGTCTGACCAGCTCGACGACCTGTGCGAATGACGTACGGACAGCGACCAGGACTCGGAGACGTCCCACGCTGGTAAAGCCACTCACGAAGCTGCTGGGGCGTAAGGGTCGGACGCCGCCATAGCTGCATCTGGCCACCGCCAGAGACTCCACACCACACAGCTCCACAGTGACTGCTACTACGGCCGCCACGACTCCCACTGCTGCCACCACCGCCGTCACCACTCCCACCGCGACTACAAAGTGAAGTCATGGCGGGCAAGCTAGGAGGAGCGCGACCTCTAGGGCAGTACGGAGTGAAGGCAGTAGTACGAGTAGCAGCAGCAGTAAGACGAACAGCAGAGCGGCTCGTGAGGCTAGGCTGCAGCACCTCCAGCACTCCTAGCAACACCTCCACCACCAGCAGCAGTAGCACGAGCAGAAGGGCGGATCGTGTCGGGTGGCGCGGCTCGGCCTGGGCAGCGCGGGCAGCAGGGCGCGCGCTGTGGAGGGCAGCAGGGCGCGACGCGCAGGGCAGCAGGGCGCGACGCGCGGGCTGCAGCAGAGCGCGACGCGCAGGGCAGCAGCGCGCGACGCGCGGGCTGCCGTAGGGCGCGACGCGCGGGGCAGCAGCGTGCGACGGGCGGGCTGCCGTAGGGCGCGACGTGCGGGGCAGCAGAGCACGACGCGCGGGGCAGAAGCACGCGACGCGCGGGCTGCCGTAGAGCGCGACGCGCGGGGCAGCAGAGCGTGACGCGCAGGCTGCCGTAGGGCGCGACGCGCAGGGCAGCAGGGCGCGACGTGCAGCTGCCGCAGGGTGCGGGCTACAGCAGGACGCAGGGCAGGGCGCTGGCGCAGGGCAGGGCGCTGGCGCTGGGCAGGGCGCTGGCGCAGGGCAGGGCGCTGGCGCAGGGCAGGGCGCTGGCACAGGGCAGGGCGCTGGCGCAGGGCAGGGCGCTGACGCAGGGCAGGGCGCTGGCGCAGGGCAGGGCGCTAGCGCAGGGCAGGGCAGGGCACTGGCACAGGGCAGGGCACTGGCGCAGGGCAGGGCACTGGCGCAGCGCAGGGCGCTGGCGCAGGGCAAGGCGCTGGCGCAGGGCAGGGCGCCAGTGCGCGCAGGGCAGGGCAGGGCAGGGCAGGGCAGGGCAGGGCGCGCGCTGACAGTGCAGCGCAGGGCAGGGCGTGGGGTAACGCGGTAACCGTAGTCGATCACTAGGTAATGGTGGGCCCGAAAAAAAAAACGGTCCTACGGACCTACTGCTCTGAAACCATGTTAAGAATTAACAAGCAGGAATGGTGTAAACTATCGAGAGAGTCGGTACAAGTACAAAACCTAAAGGGGTTGTACCCCATGTTGGCTACCCCACTATAGCCTACCCATTATTCCATAGCATATATATAGTTTGACACGCGCCCGCCCGCAGCAGCTTGCGCACGGCCCACACCAACCACCTATACCAACCAGTGCCGTCTTACCGTGCACACCTGCTACCACACTCTACCATGTCCGCATGTTGCACGCTCCGCTGCGGCATCTGCTGAGTGCGAGCCTACCGCACCCATGACCGTGCCCTGCCGCAACTATCGCGCGCCCTTTGTTCTTCACAACTTAAAATTTTGCCCTCCTTGTCTGCTTTCTCTGCATGTGACGGTCCCCTCTTATCTGCTGTAGCTGTGCCATTTGTCCCTCCCAATATGGCGACTAACTTTGTCCTTTGGCTTGATGCGGAGGGGCGGGCGGTCAACTTTGCCGCATGGAATCTCGACGTCACGCTCCTCCAGTGGAATCAGCTTAAGGGTGACGTCCCTATGTATGCCCACGCTTTGAATGAGCTACCTGCCCCCCCACGTCCAACTGCTCTTGCTGCTTACACCACTTTGGAGGCACAGAAGGCGCACTGGGACGCCCAGCTTGCATGCACACTGTGGGAGTCGCGTGACACTGCTGCACGTCTTGCTATCAGCTGCCTCCTGCCACCGGCCGAGCTGGTGACTTTCGCCAGATTGAGATGGCGAAGGAGTGCTTTGACGCTGTTGTTTCTTGATGCTCCACCCCCTCCTTTGGTTCTCTAGGACGCTTCACTTTGCATTGCTTGATTCCTTATCTCTTTGCGTTCTCCACTCTTGCTGACCTCGTTACCCACCTGTGCTTACTTGACGCTGGATACCGCGCAGCTTGCACTACTGAGTTCCTTGGTATGCACCCTCTCCTGTGCATCCTGGCCGCTGGCTCCGCAGGTGGAGCTTGACGTCGAGCGCCACGCGTCAAACTCACTTCCCCGCCCCTCGGCATCGAGCTCTAGTACAAACTCAGACGTCATGACAGGAGTGACAGGAGGACAACTGCAGTAGATGAGAAGGGACAGCCACATGTGGAGGAGGAGAAAGTCAGATGCAGGCAGGCAGACAACGGGCAGCACAACATGCAGACGCAGCAGCGACGACGGCAACTGCAGACACTGTGGCATCGACAGGTGCGTCGGTAGGTTTAGCGGTGTTGGAAACAAGTGACTTAAGCGCTTCTGATGTGTCGAAACACTGAACTACAAGTGAAGCGAATTACAACGAAGCAACGGCGAGTCAACCATCGGAGGCTGACAGAAAATGTAACTGCTGGAGGTTACGCGAAGGTCAAAGGTCAGCGACCTTTGACTTGACAAATACAGCGCGACAGCAACTGACTCGATACTGAGCAGTTGCCCGAGTCGTCACTGTATCGAACCGCAACAGCAACAGTAAAACAGTTATTAGTTGCACCCTTCCATATCCCTTGTAATCTTATAAAAGGCATGTATTACTTTTCTATAATCAATCTATCTTGCCCTCACATACTAGCGCAAGGTGGTTCAATACTTATAATTAAAACGCTTCCGCAACTACAACATTTCTACTCTGAGTTTAGCCTTGCAAAGATCCTAAGGGCTTTTCTCAGCCCAACAAGCGGTTGGCAGGCGCGGCAGCAGGCGAGAGGCAGGAGTGGTGGCAGGCGCGAGGCAGGCACGCGGTAGGCGCCGCGGCAGGCGTGCAGCAGGTGAGGGGTAGGTGTGTGGAAGGTGTGGCGGCAGGCGCATGGCAAGTGCGGCGAGCATGTGGTAGGCGCGTGGCAAGCGAGGGGCAGGCGAGCGACATGCGCGGCGGCAGGCGTGGCTGGGCGACCATGGGGCCGCGACGGCGGGAGGGCCACGACGGTTCGCTAAGGGGGGGTGCTTGAGGGGAGTGGGCGCTAGAGGGGGGGGTGCTAGAGGGTGGGGGGGCAACTAGGAGGTAAGTGGGGCGAAGCGAGGAATATACCATAACCTACATGCGAAGTATTATGTTAGCAACTGAATTGAATGACTAGATGAGGACCTACAAGGTATATGTAGCATCCCAATATATGTAGCATCCCATACCCTCAATAATGCAAACCAACCTAGCCTACAATGTATACTGTACATGGAAATGTACATGTGTACGTTGACGAAGACAACGAACTTCATTTACACAAACTCACACAAGCACAAAACAGAAATATCAAATGACAATGTCACACACTTCCACTTCCACATCAGCCTAGCACAATCATGTTTCGGAAACCCAGATCCATCATGCAGTGACAAGCAGGGGGCGCATCATGTCATTCTCCTCGTGCTCCAGCATATGACAATGCCACACATACCCCGGACCCGCTGTCGCGTCAAACGGAAACGCCGACCCATCCTGAGCAGTGAACCTCACAAACAGCTTCAGCACTTGCCCAGGCAGCGCGAGCGTCGTATCCTTCCACCCGCTCTCCCACGCCCCCACCGCCTCCGCACCCCCGGTGTAGCAGCTCGGCTTGCTGCTGCCGCCGCTCAGCGCACACGAGCCCTTGAGGAAACCCGCGGCGTTGAAGGGGCGGCGGGAGATGGGGCGGTGCTGCACCAGGTGGATGTGAATGGGGTGCGCGTGCGAGCCTGTGTTCACTATGTGCCATAACTCTGACGCTCCTTCTGCAGCCACCTCTGTGGCAGTATCCATGAAGCCCTTGCCGTCGATCGTGAATCGCATCATTGACGTCCCCCCGCCCCCCATGCCTCCTCCACCACCCCCTCCCATCCCACCGCCCCCCATGCCCATCCCCATGCGCCCCCTGATGGCGCTCCTCTGCACAGCATGGGAGGTTGCAGAGATGTTGCTGCTCATGTCTTCCCACATGCCCCACAGCTCCCCCATGCCCCTCCCTCGCCTCCGCACTCTTCTCCCCCTGCCGCCCATTCTCCCGCCCATGCCCCCGCCCATGCCTCCGCCCATACCGCTCATCGTCATGCCGGAGATAGTGAGGTAGCGCACCCGAGACACTTGCGAGAGGTCGATGGGGGGTATGGCCTGTGGGCAGGATGAGGCGAGGGGGTAAGTGATGAAGATGGGATATGGTCTATAAATAGGAACGTAAACGAGGAAAGTGAGGCATAGCAGGGAAGAGGCAAGGGGGGAAGGAAGAGGGAATGGGAAGAAGAGATCAAGGTACAGGATTGGGAGCAGGAGAGGAAGAGGTTGAACAAGGGAGATGGTGAGCAAAGGAAAGGGAATGGAAGGGGGATACATGATTAAGAGGAAACAGCTGCAACATGCTTCAACGAAATGAGGTGAACAGGTGGGAGGTGGAGGGACGTGAGGGGTGATGAGAAGAACTGAGATGTCAGTGCACAGTCGAGAAACGGACAGGGTAAGACGAGAGGGAAGGCAGCGAGGGAGAGGGAGGGGAAACATTGCATTGAGAACGTTACTAGGGAGAGGGAGGCTATAGGCGAATGAAAGGACGCCATGAAACATGGTGAGTTAAGTGAGGAAAGCGAACGACAGGCAAGCGAAGTGCAGCGTTATGACAGCCGTCAATCCAAACTCTTAAGCCTAGAGCCCACATTCCCACACACCTGAAGTGTGGCCGGCAGAGCGGGCGGAGCCACAGCAGCCTCCTGAACCACCTTGAACAGCATCACCGTCCCCACGGCCTTCTTTGCTGTTACCACCTTCTTCCGCCCTGTCACCTTCCGCACTGTCCTCCCCACCGCCCTCCCTGTACCGCCCACCACCTTGCCTACACCGCGAGCCACCCGCCCCATCGGGCCGCCCATCATGCCGCCCATGCCGCCCGCGCCCGCGGGGAAGGGCGCGGGCGCGGTGTTGAGGAGGAGGATGTGGCGGCAGGAGGAGGGGAGCGAGGAGAGGTCGAGAAGCACGTCTGCTCGCTCCCCTGGGGCTAGGAGTATTGAGGAGCGGCGCACGGGCGCCGCTAGGTACCCACCGTCTGAGGCTATCTGGAGGTGGGGTGGGAGGGATGGGGGCGGGAGGAAGGGGGAGGGTTGAGGAGGAGGATGTGGTGACAGGAGGAGGAGGGGAGCGAGGAGAGGTCGAGAAGCACGTCTGCTCGTTCTCCTGGGGCCAGGAGTATTGAGGAGCGCCGCACTGGCGCTGCTAGGTACCCTCCGTCTGAGGCTATCTGGAGGTGGGGTGGGAGGGATGGAAGGGACAGGGGAGGGAATTACGTTAAAGGGTTGAGGAGGAGGGGTAGGAAAAAGAGGCAACTCGAATGAGACAAACAATGCAGAGCAGACAGGCTACAGGGGGGGGTAGAAGGGGGCATGGTATAGCAGGACACATGTGTGCGAATGACAGAGACAGTCAGAGAACCACCTCAGGTCCTCAAAATGCACTTCAAAGGACTGGATGGGTGCGAAGCACAGTGAAGTCAAGTCAAGCCCCATAACCCCTGGCCTCATGTCAATGCATAGAGAGCACACGCACACCTGCAGCACGGAGAGAGTGGGGCCATCCAGGGGCGGCACGAGGTGGGAAGGAAGCACAGCGAAAGCAAGCCCCATAAGGCCAGGCCTCACGTCAACGCACAGGGAGCAGCACGCGCACCTGCAGCACGGAGAGAGTGGGGCCGTCCAGGGGCGGCACGAGGTGCGGGTAGTCCTTCTGGGCGGCGCACTGGAATTGCAGGCGGTACACGCGCGAGTTGGCCGCCCCCAGCAGGCGCAGACGGTACCGGCGGGGCTTCACTGCCATGTACGGCCACACCTGCCAGAGCCAGATGGGGGGAATGGGGGAGATGGGGGAGGTGGTGTGATGGGGGGGGGCTTTTGAGGCCGCTCAAGAGTCGCAGGCGGTACAGGCGAGGCTTCACTGCCATGTACGGCCACACCTGCCAGAGCAACATAGGACGGGTGGGGGAGTTGGGGGAGGTGGTGTGATGTTGGTGAGCGGGGGGTGTTTGAGGCGCTTCAGAAGGCACAGACGGTACAGGTGAGGCTTCATGGTCATGTACGGCGGCCACACCTGCCCCCCAACCACAGCGCCACACAGGGGGAAGAGAGGGAGTAAGTGGAGGTGTCGGGGTGGGGGCAAGATGAAAACGAGGCGGTGGGATGGGGAGGGGGGGCAGGGCACAAGGAGGGGGGTCGGGACTCGGGAGGGAGGGTGATGGGAAGTGGTGCAAGGAGGATTGCAAGGCGTATGGCAGGAGGAAGGAGCATAGAAAGGCGTGCTAGTAGCGAGGGCTGTGAGGATACCAGAGATTTGAGTGCTTACCTTTCCAACCCCACCTCGCCTCACCTCACCCCCACCACCCATGCGAATCCTAGTTTCGCCTCGCCCTGCCTCAGCCCCGCCCCAGCCCCACCTCACCTTCCCATTGACCACGTTCACATTGCCGAAGCTCTCCATCTGCATGCCCATACCCATCCCCCCTCCTCCCCCGCCCCCTCCACCATACACCACACTCCCGTCCTTCCGAAACCGGCGATCCGCCAGCACAAGCGGCACGTCAAACTCGCCCTGCGGCAACCACCCTGCCATCGCCTGCTCCACGCCTGTCGGGTGTACCACATGGCGTGGAACTAGCTCCCCCCTGCATTGCCCCACCTACGCCCCCAAGCCTCACCTCACCTTCCCATTGACCACGTTCACATTGCCGAAGCTCTCCATCTGCATGCCCATGCCCATCCCTCCACCCCCCCCTCCGCCATACACCACACTCCCGTCCTTCCGAAACCGCCGATCCGCCAGCACAAGCGGCACATCAAAATCCCCCTGCGGCAACCACCCACTCATCGCCTGCTCCACCCGTGTCGGGTCTCTGATAAGGTACAGCCCGGCCATGCCAGCAGCGGTGTTGAGACGAGTGTATCCCATGGCGTGGTCGTGGAACCAGAGGAGAGTCGGTGGTTGGGCGTTGGGGTAGGTGGTGGTGGCGGAGGAGAAGGCAGAGCCGGTGTCGCCGTGCTGCGAGAACCACGCGTGCGGGTGGCCGTCTGAATGGCTTGGGGACTCTGAGCCGTGCAGGTGGGGGGCTGGAGGGGGGGGAGGGGGAGAAGAAGGGGGAGAAGAAGGGGGAGAAGAAGGGGGAGAAGAAGGGGGAGAAGAAGGGGGAGAAGAAGGTGGAGAAGAAGGGGGGCCAAAAAGAGTGGAAAAGAAGTATAAGATGGAACAAAGGGCGATGGGTTAGGGGTACGTCCTGACAATTCGGAAAACACGTTACACATTCGGGTGAGTGAGACAACCGCAGGGAGTTGCGTACGAGCGCATGTGGGAATGGAAGCATGAGATGGCACCGTGCGCGCGAGAGGCAGTGCGCGCATGCATGGGTAAGAATGGCAAGCAAGGAGAGCCGCGCGCATGGGAGGGAGCCTCCGTGCAAGGAGCTAACGAGTGCAGGGAGAAGACCAGGCAGGAAAATCGATGAAGGAGAGGATTGCGGTGGAGATGGGAAGAGGAGAGGGGAGAGGAGGGGGGAGAGGAGGGGGGAGAGGAGGGGGGAGAGGAGGGGGGAGAGGAGGGGGGAGAGGAGGGGGGAGAGGAGGGGGGAGAGGAGGGGGGAGAGGAGGTGGGAGAGGAGGGGGGAGAGGAGGGGGGAGAGGAGAGACATGGCATGACAGGCGGTGGGGCAGCGGTGCGCACAGATGGGGATGCCGCCTTGGGCGGGGCGGGCGACGTGTGAGAGCGAGTAGTCCACCCCCAGCATGTGCTGCTGGTCGCTCACATGGTTCTCCCACTTCACCTGCCAGCCGCCGCCACGTGCGGTATCGCCATGTGTGCATGGCGGCATGGGGGAGGGACGGAAGCAGGGGAGTGGGGGGCAGAAGGGGGAAGACGGATGAGTGGGGGGACACGCTGGGGTTACAAGATGGAAGGCGCTCGCTTTCTCACACACACAACAGGATTGTATTGTGTGATGAGTACGGCATGGTGCCGCGAGTGGAGGTTGTGGGGCGTGTGTGCGCGTACCGTGGTGGGCGTGTGTGCGCGTACCGTGGTGGGCGTGTGTGCGTGTACCGTGGTGGGCGTGTGTGCGCGTACCGTGGTGGGCGTGTGTGCGCGTACCGTGGTGGGCGTGTGTGCGTGTACCGTGGTGGGCGTGTGTGCGCGTACCGTGGTGGGCGTGTGTGCGCGTACCGTGGTGGGCGTGTGTCTCTGTGCCACAACGAGAGGGCCAGGGTAGCTGGCGCTCTCCTGGTCCACACCGAACACGTATTGCTTTGTCGCTGGCAGGTCACGGTGAAACTTCTGCACGCCGGCACGGACGGAGGGGTGGGGGGGGAGGATGTAAGAAGGGACGGCGGGTGAGGGGCAAGGCAAGAACGAGAGAGGGGAAGCCAGGGGGGGGGGAGAAGAGTGGGGGGGTTGTGGAGAGGGAAGTGGAGCATGGAGCACCCTACGTGCTACGTATCCATCGGGAGAGGGGGGGGGAGGGAGGGGGGGCGTGGGGTAACCAGGGTAACCTGGGTACGCCGCGCGCAAGAGATACAAGGCATAGGGGTGTTGCGGAGCACAGTGCCGGGACGCGAGCGGGAGGCAAGGCAGGTGCTCGATGCAAAACGTTATTCAGAACATCAGCGCAGCATGCCCAGGACCACTGGGAAAAACGGGGGTTACTATTCAGAGGCGCCGCGGTTGCCCTTTAACCCGTCGTATAGGCCCGCAGGCGTTACACTCACGATGCGTTTCTGGAACACCCCGATGGTGACGCCGCTGCCCGTCGCGCCGTCAACCTCCACCAGCGGGGACGCCGCCAAGTCATCCACGAAGCGGCACAGCGCGCGCTTCGGGAACCCGTTCACGCACGCGGGACCCCACGACGCCGCCGGCGCCGCCGCCGCTGGTTCCGCGAAGCGCGCGATGGATGCCGCCGCGAAGAACATGACGAGGAGCGCCGCGCGCGTGGGGTTGGCGGGCGGCTTGAAGCGCGCGGAAGAACGCGCGACGGACGGACGGCGGGCGGTGCGCGGAGCGCGGCGGGGGGAAGTCGCGGGCGGCATGGCTACTATCGGCGAGAGATGGAAGGTTTCAGGTTCAGTGGCAACGGCGTCGCGGCGCGAGAGTGGCGGAGGAAATGCGGACATAGAGTGCGGCGGAGCGGAGGTTTGCGGGTGGAGAGACGAGGGGGAGAGCGGAGCGGCGCTTTACGGGAGCGGGAGGTACTCGCGATCGCAGAGACTTTTTCGCGGAGTCTAGGAGGGAGAGATGATAAGGAGATGGCGTCCTTGGCCGAGTTAGCTGAAGGCCGTTCATCTGTGGCAGTCACGAGTTGTGTGAGTCGAGACACATGTGTCACGTGCGTGCTATGCATTGCGGAAATTCGAGCGACGCTTTTCCGAATGGGCAGCATTGGGTCACATGCGAAATTTTACGGCCCTGTTCGCCACGCCTTTGCTGGGCCTTCAGAGGGATGGGCGGGGGATCTGGAATCCGCCCTGCACCTTCGAAAAGGGGTGAAATCAGGGTTTTAGGGCCGGTCAGACCGACAAAATCCTGTCGAGCCTGACGATCCCCTCCGAACCTCGGAGGGCTCGCTGTCGTGGAAAACCCAACCACTTTTCTGGGCCATCGAAGGGATGGGCGGGGGATCCAGAATGCGCCTGGCAGTTTCCTGTCCTGCCAGCTCGGAACCCCATCCCCTCCATCGACTCTCCCTCGTGCAGACCACCAATTTCGTAGGCGCCTAACGGGATGGCCGGGGGATTTGAGTGCAGGGTAAACGCCAACGGGTCACCAGAACCGGCCCGAAAAAACAAATTTCAGCCCTCCCGAGTGGCATTCAACACCCACAGATCGCGCTAGGTCGGTTGGCTGTGTGGTGAACTGGCTGATAGAAGTTCACGGAACCCTAGACGCAACTGTGAAGGACCTTTTCTTTTTTCGACACTTTTTACCCGGGCTGATTTGTTTCTTTTGTTGTGGGGTTGTGGCACAGAGGCGGGAAAAAAACTCCCGCCCTAAACGAAGGTGGGGGGGCAGGTGCCAGATCCCCTTGGCCCCCTTCCGGATCCCATTGGAGAAATTTCCATTCGGGGCGAGCCCCCGGACGTAGTTCGCAACTTCCTGCGCACCTTCTGGAGCCTTCGCCCTTCCCCGCCCCTTGCCTATATCGTGGTCGTGGCGAACAGGGCCTATATGTACCGTATGCTCTGGTTTTTTGGATGCGCTGTCGACGACGTAAAGTGCGTGTGGGAGGGTGGGACGGGTGAGTTGTGAGCTGGGTATGCTGAAGGTTCGCCGGTAGCTTCGCTGTTTCCGTTTCCGTTTCCCCCGTGTGACGGCGAGGGGTGGATGGAGGGGAGCAAAGCAGAACACAACTCAGCACAGCAGAGCAATGCTGTGTGGAAGAACGTGCCCACCACCAGCCTTGTTGCTTTCTCTTAGCATGCGGTTTAGTTGGGTTTCGAGGGATCAATCACGGTTTCTGCGGAAAGCAAACGCCGAAGAAAACGGGTGAAACAAAAGGGCCAACAGCTACTGCAAAATTCCGACACCACCCAATTTGCAGGAGCGGGAACACTTGTCGGCGGCACGCAGGGTGGTACACCCTAATGCTCACTCAACCGCCCACTCTGAACACCCCTACTGCCACTCCATACGCCCAGTGGTCGACATTCACAGCCAACAGCCCCCTCGTTACTGGCCCACGACAAAACCAGGATATTCTTGACTTCGAATAAGTTGTTCGAGTTTCCCAGACAAAACACGCTTGGCTACCCACAATGATAGCGACTGTTCTACATTCAGTCCCATTTTGCCCCTAGAGAGCACGTGCTCGAGAGAGGAGTACGGGGAAAGATGGGGAACGGGACTGAAATAGGCATCAGGTGTATGACGCCCCCTACCCACCTCCACGATGTGGCCATTTCATGTCACTGTACATGTAATTTTCGGCCAGCCTGCCATTTCAGGTTCGGGTGAAAACCCCGTTATTGGTCGCCAAGTGTGTTTTCAATACAGCCTGATTCGTGTTACGTTGTCACTTAGGGTGTGGGACATTTAAGAGTAACTCAAGTTTGAAAGAGGTTGTATCTTGTACATAATCTGCATGATATTGTGTTGCTGTAAGTTATCTCAAAGTTAGAATGCAATGGAATGTGTGAACTAGGGAAGCAAGAGATACAAATAGGAACCCTAAAAGTGTTGTACTCCCTAGAGTGCTACTCACTGTAGCCTAAGAACATATAATAACATTTGACACACCCCCATAGGCTAAGTGAGGGGCATCAAAGCAAGCAAGGTGAACAAACGGTCACAAGACCAGTCAATGCAAGAAGCAAGGCAAGATCAGGGTGGATCTTAAGGACACCACACAAATTCCAAGCAAAAGCAAGCGGCCACAAGGCCAGTTCAAGAGTTCGCTAGGATATAAATAGCAAAGCACAACAAGCAGAGCAAACAGCAAGTCTACAGCAACCGAGGGCCTACCTCAACAAGCCCCAACTGCACACAGAACCTGTGGTGGTCACCAAGCGCCAGGGCCTTGGTGAAGACGTCTGCAGTGTTGGCCTCTGAGGCCACAATGTCCAGGCGTGCCTGGCCGCGTCGCTGCAGCTCTCGCAGAAGGAACTACCTCACATCAATATGATTCACTCTGTTCTCTAGTCGAGGCTCTCGACAGAGGAGGATCATGGCCTTGTTGTCAGCGTACAAGGTCGGTGCAGAGCGAGGCCGCTCACCAAGGTCGACGAGCAAGAAGGTCAACCAGCGAAGCTCCTGTGCCGCCATGGCACCAGCGTAGATCTCTGCCTCTGCACTGGAAGTAGCCACAGACGATGACCGTGTAGACCTTCACGACACAGCACCAACTCCCAGACTGAAGCAGTAACCCTGAGTCGAGCGCTGAGTCTCCACGTCGTCAGCGTAGGAAGAGTCGCAGTGACCAGTCAACGCCACTGGCTGAGTCCCTCCAAGCACAAGCCCCATGCCTGATGTAGTCGCCAGGTACTTCGCCACCCTCACAGCAGCTGTCCAGTGAACAGGACGGTGTCTCCCAGTCGCAACAAAGCGAGAAAGTATGCTAAGGGGAAAGGCGAGGTCCGGCCGAGTACAAGTCATCAAGTACATGAGGCAGCCCACCAGCTCTGCGTAGGGACCACTGGACTCAAAAGGCTCGTTAGGAAAGGGGCCAGTGAGTCTGTGGTCAACAGCAAGAGGTGTGGGCTGTGTGGTGGAGAACTGGAAGTCGAACCGCCGAAGGACCTGCTGCACCATGTGTGACTGAGTCAGTGTGATGGTGCGAGCGGCTCTGTCCCTGGTGATTTGCAGGCCAAGGTAGCGCTGCAGTTCACCTAGGTCAGTGCACTTGTATCTGTTCTGAAGTTCAGACTTCACCTAAGCCAGAGCTGCCCTGTCTACTGTGGCAAAGACCAAGTCGTCGACGTACACTAGTATAAACAGCGACGGGTCGGCAGAGGAAGGACAAAACCCAAGGTCACGAAGCGTGGAGCGGAGAGTGTCGTGCCACTCATGGGGCGACTGGCGGAGACCATAGATTGGCCGTCTCAGGCTCCACTGGGTCCCAGGTGGGAAGGTGTCAGTGAAGCCAGGAGGGCGGCGCAGCCAGATCTCCTCGTGTAGCCGGCCCTGGAGAAACGCAGTAGAGAAGTCAAGGGAGTGCAGCTCGTAGTCTCGCTGTCCTACTACGTGCAGTAACACCCGAAGAGTAGTCATCTTCGGGGTCGGGGCGAAGGTCTGGAAGAAGTCAACTCCCTCACGCTGACTGAAACCCCTAGCCACGTAGCGCGCCTTGAACACAGGCGGTGAACCAGGCGGCCGCTTCACCTTGAAGAGCCATATGCCATCGACTACGTTCGCCCTGGGAGGGGGAACTACGTCGACGTAGGTGCCTGTGGATCTCCAAGACGCTAAATCCGAGGCCATAGCCGCTTTCCACTGTGAGGCCCACGCCCCTGACATTGCCTCGCGGTAAGTGCGAGGAGTCGGTATGTCAAGGGCGTCGGGGTCTCCCTCAGGGGATAGCAGCATGGCACAGACAGAGGGAGAAGCGGCTGCCTAGTACTCCAGCTCAGAATCTCTGTCCTCTAGGACGTCACAGCCAAGGGCAAACTCACCCCTGACGGACAGAGGACTGGAGGGAGGAGCTGGCACCACACGGGTGGTGTAGTCAAGGCAGTTGGCGGCAGCAAACTCAGCGACAGCAGCAGTGAGAGCTGAGACAGACGACGGAGGGAAACGAGAGTCGGCGACAAGCGTGGCGAGGACACGAGGGACAACAGGACAACCGGCACGGTAGTAGTCAGTGACAGGAGTAGGGGGGGAAGGGAGAGAGGACAGAGGAGGAGACGGGAGAACGGACTCAGGAGGAGGACAACGAAGAGACGAACAAAGGAGGGCCGTGCGGAGGTCGGGAACGGGAGACAAGTGTCGAGCACGCGGAGGACAGGGACGGACACGAGAGTGCGGGACAACAGGTGGAAGAGACTGCGGTGGAGGAGAAGACTAGACTGCTGGACTGGCGTCAGGAGGAGGAAACGTGGGACCAAACGCTGGAGGGGACGGAGTGTGAACAGGAGGAGAGGAGGGAAGCCCAAGGGCCCGAAGGCTACTCACGGGTGGGAACAACTGCCGCTCCAGAGGGAGCTGCTGCGGTCGCAGCTGCGGCTGCTGCTGCTGCCGCTGCTGCTCCTGCTGCTCCTTTTGGTCCAACCGTCGCAACTCCTGCCACTCCCTCTCAAACAGCACCTGCTCCTCACGCTCACGCCGACAAGCCGCCTGGAGACGCGTGTTGTGGCGGTGGGGAGGCGGAGTGGACTCCGCAGGACCAGTGTCTCCAGCTCCAGTCTCCTCAGACACAGCACCTCCAGTGCCAGCGCCTTCAGCACCAGCACCCCCAGAACCAGCACCTCCAGTGCCAGTGCCTCCAGCACCGGCACCCCCAGAACTAGCACCTCCAGTGCCAGCACCTCCAACTCCAGCACCCCCAGAGCTAGCACCTCCAGTGCCAGCACCTCCAGCTCCAGCACCCCCAGAGCTAGCGCCACCTGCGCCAGCACCTCCAGCTCCAGCACCAACCGAGTCCACAGTAACCTGTCGCGGAAGTGCCAAAGGCTGCTGCGGGGAGTGTGAGGAGGACTGCGGGGAGGGAGACGCTACCTGACGCGCGACCGAGGGTAGAGGGGTTGCGTGGGACACACCAGACGGGGCAGGACCAGGGGGGGGGCGGGGGTACCGGAGGAGCGGGAGTAGGAGGAGGAGAGGGTGCGAGGAAGAGGGGGGGAGGGGGTACCGGGAGACCTTGACAGGGGTACCGGGTGTAGTAGGACACGGACTTGTCAAACCGGACGTCACGGGAGTCTAGGAACTGGTGGAGGGGAGGGTGGTAAAAGGACCAGTCGGCAGAGTCCACCGGGAAACCAAGGAAGACACAGGGGACGGCGCGTGCCGAGAGCTTGTCTGCGGAGGTGTCGCGAACAAGCGCAAGGCAGCCCCAGACACGAAAGACCGACCCAACACCAGGGGACCCGGTCCAAAGACTGGTCGGTGAAGCCTCGGGCCATGAGACGCGCGGCTGGAGGTTCAGCTGGTGTGCGGCGTAGCGAACCGCGTAGGGCCACAGAAAATGGGGCGCACGGGCATGGATCATGGACGTGCGAGCAATGTCCATGACCAAGCCAATGCGGTGCTCAGCAACCCCATTCTGCTGTGGGGACTCCGGAGGCGTCGAGGACTGTACGATGCCTTGTTCGCCGCAAAATCCGGCAAGAACGCCGGAGCGAAACTCGCCCCCACGGTCGGAGTGTAGACAACTAACACGACGACCACGAGTGCCTTTAGTGGCCAGAAGCCACTGGATCAGCGTAGGAGTCACCTCGGACTTCTTCGCGAGAGGGAACACTGTGGTGTACCTGGAGAAGTCGTCGACGACCACCAGAAAGTAACACTCCCTTCCAGAACCCTGCGTCGGGGCAGGGCCCCAGACGTCCAAGTGGAGGGTCTCGAAGGGAGCAGTGGCCGGACGAAGGGGGGAGGAGTGGGGAGCGGCGCGTAAGCGACCGGCGACGCAAGGAGTGCAAGGGGGAGCAGGGTAGGTGGGGAGCGATGGAAAGGTGCATGGGAGACCGGTGACAAGCCCGTGAGTGGTCGTCCCGCGGAGGCGGGGGAGCGACGGGTGGCCAAGGCAGTGGTGCCACAAGACGGTCCGGTGGGTGAGGGACCGACAGGAGCAGGACGCAGCGACTGGGCTAGACAGCGCGACCTGACTAGACACCGCAACTGGACAAGACACGACCACCTGGCTAGACACAGCAACCGGACTGGACACCTGGACTGGAGGGGACGCAACGACCTGAGCGGAGGACGCAACCGGGGAGCGCTCGGTGTGGAGAACGTAGAGACCGGAGCGGGGCTCCCTGGTCAACGTGGCCAGAACAGCACCTATGGCAGTGTCTATACAGACCGCAATCCTCCCACCCCCCACAAAGGTAACAATGATCCCCCTGTCCTGGAGGTAACCAACACCCACCAAGTTCCGAGTGAACGAGGGGATGTGGAGGCCACGCAGGACACCAGAGGGGACCACAGGATACGGGAGGGTAGTGGAGCTACGCGCAATGGCTGGTCCTGAGGTAGGATCAGCCAGAGCCATCGAAACAGGAGTGAGGAGAGGCGTGAGGGTCATGTGGTCGCGGAAGAAGCACTGAGATGCACCAGAGTCCAGCGTGAAGGACAGGGACGCCTCAGCCAGAGGGTCACCTGTCTCAGTGGCTACACAAGCACCTAGAGCAGCAACACAAGCACCTAGACTAGAAAGGCACAAGTCTACACTAGCAGGAGGCCAGTAAGCTAATCTACGAACACGCGAGCACACAGATCCATCAGCACTATAGTCAACATCAGCATACAAAGCATGCTGACGAGCATCGTCCATGGACATATCAAACACATCAATCTTACGGGCTAACAGGCGAGCCTAGCGAGGCGTGGTCGCCGTAGGGCCCCAACGAGCACGGTAGAGGTCGTCGAGGCGGCGGAAGCACCGCGCGGCAGAGTGGTCGTCACGACCGCAGAGACAGGGGCTGCCAGGTTTGGTGAGGAACCAGTGGGTGCAGGGGCCAGTGTCACGGTGAGGGGGGCGAGGGGCCCAGCTGGAAGCGCTGCCACTACGGCCGGTGCTCCCTAGTCCTCCCGGACCCCACTGCGGCGGGGGACCCCAGTGCTGCTGCGGACCCCATTGCAGTGGGGGCCCCCACTGCTGGAACTGCTGCGGCGCCTGCTGCTGCTGCGGTCTCTGCTGCTGCTGCTGTCCCTACTTTGGCTGGGGCTGCTGCGTTTGCTGCTGCTGGGGTCCAACACCCCCACCGGTCGTGCCACCGCCAGTGGGCGGGCCTGTCCGTCCTGCACCTCCTCCAAGGCCCCCTTCGTCTGGTGCACCTCCGCAGCCGCCGCCGCCGCCACTGCCTCCACCACCGCCGCTCCCACCTCCACCGCCACCTCCACCGCTGCCTCCACCGCCTCCACCTCCCCCCTTCCCGCCCTTCTTGCCACTCTTGCCCCATTTCTGCTAGTCTGCGGCAGAAACGGCAGCAGTGTCCCCAGAAACCGACACAGCAGCAGAAGCGCGGGTAGCAGTGAAAGTGGGAAGCTTAGGGGCGGCACACCCCGCAAAGAGATGGGGGGCCACTGCGTCAGTGGCGGAGGCAACGGTGAGGAGGCTACTCTCGATCGTCCCGAGAGCGGTCTCAAGGAGATCGATAATGAGCTCAGTGGTGTGCTTCTGGAGAAGCGCGTCACGAGCAGTGGCAAGGTGGTCAGGGAGGCGGGTGACTAACCAGTGCACAGTGAGCCACATGGGGGGGGGGAGCAGCAAGAAGCTGGGCGTCGGTACATGCCGCTCGGAAACCGGCGTCAAGTGAGCGGAGGTGAGTCACTAGGTCGGACACAGTCGCAAACGAGCCGAGTTCGGGAAACACGAACGGCATGAGGAGGCAACTGAGGGAGGCAGAGGAAGGGGTGGAATAACGTGCAACAACAGCAGCCCAAACCCCCTGAGCTGTCTCCACCTGGTCAAAGTGGACGGCCTCAGTCGGTGGGAGGAGCTCCGTCAGCGCAAGAGCAGTGGCAGCATTGAGAGAGTCCCACACGTCCCTCGCCAAGACACGACGGTCGTAGTCCACCTGCGCCGCAGGAGTCGGCTCCGGGTCGGTCGAGAGGGGGTCGGGAGACAGGGGCGCCTTGAGGGCACCAAACATGTGGGTCCACAGGGTGGCGCCGTCCTGACGCTGACTGGTGAGGTAGCGCGTGGCCTGGCGCTGCCAGGTACTGAACTCGATCGGTCGCCCCTCCACATCGAAACGAAGGCGGCGGGACTCCATACTGGAGGCTAGGCTAGAGGCGGCTGGAGCGCGGAGGAGGCGGATCTAGGAACAAGGAGGGAAAGCTAGGAGCGCTAGGTGTGGCGAGGCAAGAGACCGGCGGAGCTAGTGGCTAGGAGCTAGTGGCTACACGGGTCTAACCTAGGTGACCGATGAGAGTAGCGGTTGCCAGCCGCTGACAGAGAGACCAATGACAGTAGGAACGGCGGGGGGCCCAGCGAACAGGGCGGTGGTGGGGAAAAGGTCCACGTGACTAGTACGGTGGGTGCGCACGGGTCGAGGGCGCGGGCTGGGCGCGGGCTTGGGGTAGAGCGCCGGCTAGGGGCAGGGCGCGGGCTATGGGCAGGGCGCGGACGGCGCAGGCAGCACGGAGGGCAGAGCGCGGATGCGCGAGCAAGGCGCGGAGGCGCGTTTGCGCGGAGGCGCGTTGGCGCGGAGGGCAGAGCGCGGATGCGCGAGCAAGGCGCGGAGGCGCGTTGGCGCGGAGGCGCGTTGGCGCGGAGGCTGTTGGCGCGGAGGCGCGTTGGCGCGGAGGCGCGTTGGCGCAGAGGCACGAGGCGGAGGTGCGGATGCGCGAACTAGGGCGCGGGCTAGAGCGACGGGCTAGGGCGGACGCCTGGGCAACGGGCTAGGGCCGCAGGCTAGGGGCGCGGAGGGCGCTAGGCACGGAGGTCCGCGACGGCGCGGGCTAGGGGCGCGGAGGGCGCTGACGCGCGGAGGAGGAGGGCGCTAAGGCGCGGAGAGGGCGCGGAGGGCGCGGAGGCTAAGGCGCGGAGGGCGCGGAGGGCGCGAAGGGCGCGGAGGTGCGCTAGAGAGGGCGCGGGCTAGGAAGTAACAAGGAACTACCTACTCGTGATACCATCTCAAAGTTAGAATGCAACGGAATGTGTGAACTAGGGAAACAAGGGATACAAATAGGAACCCTAAAAGTGCTGTACTCCCTAGAGTGCTACTCACTGTAGCCTAAGAACCTAACATTTGACAAGTTATAGTATAGTGATGAACATTAACATTCCAAAATAATTGTGGAACGTTCAGATGTTCCACGCCTTTCAACTTCAATGCTCATGCTAGGTACGGTAAGTTGGAAACGATGTACCACTTCCACTACCGTAAGGATTGTCAAAACGCATTTTATGCTTGTAGGGTGGAGTGGGGTAGCCCATATAAGGTACAACCCTATTAGGGTTGCATACTTGTATCTCACTGCTGCTAATCACAGATCATTCCGATGTTCTCATTCTAACAGGGATCAATGGTGTGCACGTACCGTCTGAAAAAAACCCTCTGTGGTGCATTCATTCGTTCAAAATGGGGTTTGGCAGCATATGCAGCTGCCTAGCATGTGGTGTTCCAGTGAAACAGCAAACAGGCGAACAACTGCGTGGACTGGAGAGGTAAAAGCGAGTGGGCTTCTGAAGCAGGCAGCGAAGGTACGGTACCGGTACACCCGCACCGCAAGCTGCCCTACCCTGTCAACAATGAACACTTCAACATACCGTAGAAAAACACCCCACACTAGAAAACAGCCGAGGCTCTAGAACAACCAGCCCGTTCTCTTGGGGGGGTCCAGGCGCACGGGCTTCTCGAGCAGGCAGTTGAGCTACACGTGTGAGCCGAATTGTCCTGTCAACGATGGGCGCTTCAACCTATACATGACACCTCACCCCAAAACAGCTGAGGCTCTAGACTAGAACAACCAGCCTGTTCTCTTGGGAGGGTCGAGGCGCACGGGCTTCTCAAGCAGGCAGTTGAGGTACATGTGTGCGCCGAGCTGCTCCCCCACGTCGGGCTTGGGCAGCACGTGGTAGTAGAGGCGCTTGTAGCCCAGTGCACTGATCAGTGCCACGTACACCGGCATCTCGTCTAGAGGTGCATAGAACATCTCAAACCACAGCACGCCGCCTGGTAAGAGCATAGGTGAAAACATAGAAATGAATGCAGAGGGATGGGAGGGATTGGTGGAAGGCACGGGAGAGCGGAAGTGAGGGTGTAGATGTGAGGTGGGTAGGGTTTGAGTCGAGTAATGCTCATGTGTGCGCCAAGCCGAGCTGCTCCCCCACGTCGGGCTTGGGCAGCACGTGGTAGTAGAGGCGCTTGTAGCCCAGTGCACTGATCAGCGCCACGTACACCGGCATCTCGTCTAGAGGCGCGTAGAACATCTCAAACCACAGCACGCCGCCTGGTGGTGGGCACGGGAATGGGTGCAGAGGGAATGGGTTGGGAGGTATGGAAGATGTGGGCGGTACCTGAGGTATGGCTCGATGATCACCAGGCGGAAGTGCCTTGGTGAAGACATCAGCAGTGTTGGCCCAAGTGGCCACGTACGCAAGACAAAGCTGGCCACGCTGCTGCAAATCTCGAGCAAGGAAGTATCGCAGAACGATGTGCTTCGTTCTGTGCTCCAGTCTGTGCTCCTGACACACGGCAATCATGGCCTTGTTGTCTACGTACAGCACTGGAGGCGAACGAGGCTGCTCTCCCAAGTCGGTCAGCAGGTAGGTGAGCCAGCGTAGCTCCTGAGCAGCCATGGCCCCAGCGTAGATCTCAGCCTCACAACTGGAGCTGAGAACAGAAGACGAGTGGGTAGACCGCCAAGAAACAGAGCCGGAACCAAGGCTGAAGGTGTAACCCTGTGACGACCGCTACGTAGCTGAGTCGTCAACCCAGGATGCGTCTGCGTGACCAGTGAGAACAAGTGGACCCCATCCTCCAAGCATAAGCCCCATGCCCAACGTACTGCACAGGTAACGCAGTACCCTTTTCGCAGCATCCCAGTGCACCTTTCGGTGCCTATCGGGAGCCACGTAGCGAGCCAGAAGGCTGAGAGGGTACGCGAGGTCAGGTCGTGTGCACGTCATCAGGTACATGAGGCAACCTACAAGCTCTGGGTACGGATCACTCGGCTCTACGGACTCGTTCGAAGGTGGAGCTGAGAGCGAGTGGCTGGTAGATAGAGGAGTGGGCTGTGGCAAGGAGAACTGGAAGCCAAAGCGCTGAAGGACCTGGTGCACCATGTGTGACTGAGTTTGTGCGATGGTGCGCCGTGCTCTGTCCCGGGTGATCTGCAGGCCAAGATAGCTGCGCAGTTCACCTAGGTCAGTGCAGGTGTGTCTCTTCTGCAGCTCGGACTTCACAAGGGTCAATGCCTCAGTGTCAGCAGTGGCAAAGACGAGGTCGTCGACGTACACGAGGACGTAGAACGGCGGCAGCGAGGTGTCGGTGCGTAGAAACAGCGACGGGTCCGCAGTATAAGGAGCAAACCCAAGAGCCGCAAGTGTAGTCCACAGTGTGTCGTGCCACTCGCGAGGCGCCTGGCGGAGACCGTAGACTGGCCGGCGGAGGCTCCACTAAGTACGTGCAGGAAACGTCCCAGTGAAACCAGGTGGTCGGCGCAGCCAGATCTCCTCGTGCAGGCTGCCCTGTAGGAAAGCTGTGCTGAAGTCCAGAGAGTGCAACTCGTAGTCACGCTGAGCAGCGACGTGCAGCAACACCCGAAGAGTAGTCATCTTCGGGGTGGGGGAGAAGGTCTGGAAGTAATCAACTCCATGTCGCTGACTGAAGCCTCGAGCAACGTAACGCGCCTTGAAGGCAGGCGGAGTACCCGGCGGCCGCTTCACCCTGAAAATCCACATGCCATCGACTATGTTCGCCCGAGACTGGGGAACTTCATTGACGTAGGTGCCTGTGGACTTCCAGGATGCCATCTCGGCATCCATAGGTGCCTGCCACTGAGAGGAGTAAGGACCCGTAATCGCCTCTGCGTAAGAGCGCGGGGTCCGGATGTCTGGAGCATCCGGGTCTCCCTCAGGGGCAAGCAGCATGGAAGCGAAACGAGGTACAGCAGCTGCAAGACACTCAAAGTCCTCCTTCCTGTCCTCAAGGACGTCCGTGCCAAGAGCACACTCACCCCCGACGGACGGAGGACTGGCAGAAACAGACTCAGCAACTAGAGCAGTGGCGTAGTCGAGACGACAGGCAGCAGCAAAGTCAAGCAGCTCACCAACGAGAGCAGACGCAGCAGCAAACTCAAAGGAAGGGTCAGTGACAGCAGTGGCGAGGAGACGAGAGACAGTGGGACTGGCATTACGAGATCGGTCAGACGCAGGGTCAGGGACCTCAGGAAGAGAGGACTCAGGAGGAGCAGGCTGAGGAACACGCAGTGGAACAGAGGAAGGACGGAGTGCCATAGCGTGTGTGCCGGGGACAGGAGGAGGACGCGAACGAGGAACGCGACGAGAAGTGTGAACAGGCGCGACAGGACGAGACGCAGGCTCACGACGCTCTGTAAGACCGCCGGACTGCTCAGTGTAAGGAGAGGGAGCAGGCAGTGAGGAGGCTGGCTGTAACGGCGGCTGCGACTGTTCAGGCGGTGGACACAGGAAGGGAGGAGGAAGACCAGTAGAAGACGGGACACCAAGAACCTGCTGAAGCAGGGGAAGGAAGTACGGTCGTGGCCGCACAGTGCCTCCAGCACCTCCAGCGCCAGGGTCCACAGCTCCAGCTCGTGCAGCTCCAGCGCCTCCAGCGCTAGCGCCTCCAACTCCAGCACCAGCAGCTCCAGCGCCTACTGCGCCAAGGCCTCCAACTCCAGCGCACCCAACACCACCAGTCCCGGCAGCTTTAGCACCACTGGTACGAGCACCTCGAGGACCAGTAGCCGCAGTACCTCCAGTACCGCCAGCTCCAGCAGTAACAGCAGCACCGCCAGCTCTAGTGTCTCCAACGGCTCCAGCTCCAGAAGCTCCACTCCGACTGTGTGCGCGCCGAACAAGCCACTCACGCAGCTGCTGCAAAGATAGTCGCGGCGAAGCACCAGCAGGACCTCCAGACGAAGCAGCACCCCGAGGCGCAGCACCCCCAGACTCCGTACTCTCCGACTCAGCACCCCCAGGCTCAACACCCTCAGGCTCAACACCCCCAGACCCAGCACCCTCAGACCCCGCACCCCCCGGCTCCGCACCCCCAGACGCAGCAACCCCAGACGCAGCACCCCCAGACGCAGCACCCCAGACGCAGCACCTCGAGCAGCACCTGAGCCGACAGCTACCTAAACAGGCGCAGTACGAGGTAGAGGGTCTACCTGAGACACACCCGAGGGAGCAGGACCCTGGGGCGGGAGGGGGTCTACCGGAGGTGGACCAGGAGCAAGGAAGAGCGGCGGGGGCGGGGGAGGGGCAGAGCGGTAGGGGAAGAGATGGTAGAAGGGAACCGACTCGTCGAACGTAACGTCCTGAGACGGGAGGACATGGCGCGAGGTGGGGTGGTAAAACTGCCAGCTAGGCGCGTCAAGGACAAAGCCAAGGAAGACGCAGGGAATGGCGCGGGCCGAGAGCTTGTCCGCGGATGTATCGCGAACAAAGGCACAAGAACCCCAGACCCGGAACACCGACGCATCGCCAACCTTCCCCGTCCAACGCAGGTTGAGCTGATGCGCAGCGTACCGGACCGCAAACGGCCACAGAAAATGGGGAGCGGCCGCATGGATCATGGAGGTACGAGCGACCTCCATGACTAAATCATTTTGCTGAGGGGATTCCGGAAGCGTGAACGATTGGAGAATGCCCTCCCCACGACAAAAGTCCCGCAAGAGGTCGGAGGAGAACTCACCACCTCTGTTAGAGTGCAGATGTAGGACAGGAAGGTCCGTACCTAAGCGCTCGCGGAGTTGGAGACGGACTGTGCGGATCCAAGGGATCAAGACATCAGGGACCTCACCCTTGCTGCGCAAGGGGAAGACCGTGGTGTACCGCGTGTAGTCTTCAACAACCAGCAGAAAGTAGCGCTCGCGGCCCTGTCCACTGACGCGGGCTGGGCCCCACACGTCCATGTGGAGAGACTGCAGGGGAGCAGTCGTCAGGGGAAACGAGGAGGAGTGAGGAGCGGCTCGCTGCCGCCCCTCGACGCAAGGAAGGCAGGGCGGGGCAGGTGAGGGCATGAGGGGAGGCAGAGACCTTGGTAGACCAAAGATGAGAAACAAGGAGTGCATGCCACGAAGGCGTGGCAGGGAGGGGTGACCCAGGCGGTGGTGCCACAGAAGAGTCTGGTGCGACAGGAGGCGACACGAGCAAGAGGTGGCTACCTGACCTGACGCGGACACCTGAGTAGACGCAGCAACCTGAGGAGGCTCGGTAGCCAGCGTGTACAGACTCGACCCTGGCCGACGAGTGAACGTGGCCAAGTGACGGCCCGTCCGTGTGCACGTGCACATCGACACACGCTGACCCCCAGGAGTGGTGGTAGTGACCATCGCATCCTGAAGGGAAGCAGTACTCACCAAGTTTGTAGAGAACGAGGGGAGGTGAAGACCTGTTAGTGAGCCAGACGGAACCGCCGGATACGGGAGGACAGTGGAGGAACGGGCAACGACCGGTCCCTCAGAGGGGTCAGCCAGTTTGACCGGGACAGGTGCAGGGAGAGGAGTGAGAGTGGTGCTGTCACAAAAGAAACGGCTCGAGGTGCTTGAGTCCAACGTGAAGGTGTGCAGGGCCTCAGCAGGCGTAGTACCAGGGGGAGTACCAGACGCACTAGCACCTAGAGCAGCAGCCGCTGTACTTGGGTCAAGTGGCACACACCGGTAACAGTCACCCTTAGCACTAAAATACAAAGCATACATGGCAGGGATAATAGCATCAAAGTCTAGTTCAAAGATAGCAACTCCCGACCTAAGCAAATCCGTCCAGCGAGGGCGCTCGACGTCGTCACCAAACTCAGCACGCCAGGCGTCGTCAACGCGGGAGAAGCAGCGGTGCTCGATGTGAAACTTCTCGCATGTCTGGCCTGCACGGACACCCGTGCGAATGACATACGGGCAGGTCTCACTACCCCCACCCGTCCCACGCTGAACCAACCACTCACGGAGCTGCTGGGGCGACTGGGTCTCGCTCCGACGCTGCTGCTGCTGTCGCTGACCACCACCAGGGCCTCCACGCCGAAGTCCAGACCTGCCACCACCAGTCCCACCGCCTCCACTACCGCCACTCCCTCCGCTGCCTCCACCGCCGCCACCAGGGCCCCCACTGCCGCCACCACTCCCACCGCCGCCACCACCTCCACTTCCTCCACCACCTCCACCGCTGCCCCCACCACCGCTCCCACTGCCACCTCCGCCACCACCGCTGCCACCTCCACCACCCCGACCACCCTTGCCCTTGCTGCTTCGGCGCTTCGCACTAGTCGAAGCAGCACCGACGTCCTCAGTAACAGAGACGTCTGCAGCAGCAGCAGAGGCGAAGGAGGGGGAAAGGGGGGAGGGGGAGCACCCCTCAAAGAAGGGCGAGCACGGAGTGCCACGAGCAGCACCTACAGCAACTGCACTAGTCTCAGCTGCGAGGAGATGCTGCTCGAGGAGGTTAAAAGTGAGGGAGGTGGGGTCAAGGGAGAGAAAGTGGTCCCTGACAGAGCGAAGAGAGTCAGGGAGGCGAGAGACTATGAAGTAGAGGGTGATGAACATTGGGGGCTGGTTCGTGGCAAGGAACTCAGCAGGGACGGTAGCGCGGTAGCGAGCGTCGCTAGTGCGCAGGTGGGTAACCAGGTTCGCTACTGTGGCAAACGCCGACAGCTTAGGGAATAGGTAGGGCAGTAGGAGTCTGCGTAGAGCGGCAGTGGCAGGAAAGGAGTAGCGAGCAACTACAGCATCGTACAGGGCTTGTGCTGTCCTGTGCTGTCCAAAGTGAGTACATTCGGCCACCGGCAGGCAGTAGCGTCACGAGACAGCCACTGGGAACGAGTCGCACCGTCAGCTGTGGCGAGAGGGGCTGGAGCGACACCGGACACATGGTCAAACAGTGAGACACCGTCCTTAATATCGCTCAGTAGGTACAGCTGCAGATCGTCATGCCACGTGTCAAATGCAACCGGTCTGCCCTCATGATCAAACGCTAGAACTCTAAACAAAGCCATAGTGGCGCAGCACTCAGGAGCAGCAGTAGCAGCAGCAGCAGCAGCAGCAGCAGTAGCAGGAGCAGTAGCCAAGGGGACAAGGGGCGGGGCCGAGGGGCCTAGGGGCCGAGGGGCCAAACACGAGGGTGGCGGGGCCGAGGGGACTAGGGGCCGAGGGGCCAAGGGGCCTAGGGGCCGAGGGGCCGAGGGGCGGGGCCGAGGGGCCAAACACGAGGCCGAGGGGCCAAAGGGGCCTAGGGGCCGAGGGGCCGAGGGGCCGAGGGGCGGGGCCGAGGGGCCTAGGGGCCGAGGGGCCAAACACGAGGGTGGGGGGGGGGCGAGGGGCCAAGGAGTCACGGGGCACCGGGGCCGCTGCTAGGGCCCGAAGGGGCCAAACACGAGAGGCCACAGGGCCGAGGGGCCAAGGGGCGAGGGGCCGAGGTGCCTGTTGCCTAGGGCCAAGGGGCCGAGGGGCCAAGGGGCGAGGGGCCGAGGTGCCTGTTGCCTAGGGGCGAGGGGCCGAGGGGCCTGGGGGCCGAGGTGCCTAGGGGCCGAGGGGCCTTGGTGCCTAGTGGCTTGGGGGCGAGGGGCCAAACACGAGGGGCCACGAGGGGCCGAGGGGCCGAGCGAGGGGCCGAGGGGCCGGGGGCCGAGGGGCGACGGGGTCGACGGGGCCAACGGGGCCGAGGGGCGCGGCTAGGGGCGACGGGGTCGACGGGGCCAACGGGGCCGAGGGGCCGAGCTAGGGGCGACGGGGCCAACGGGGCCGAGGGGCGCGGCTAGGGGCGACGGGGTCGACGGGGCCAACGGGGCCGAGGGGCGCACCTAGGGGCGACGGGGTCGACGGGGCCAACGGGGCCGAGGGGCGCGGCTAGGGGCCTAGGGGTCGACGGGCGCGGCTAGGGGCGACGGGGTCGACGGGGCCAACGGGGCCGAGGGGCGCGACGGGGTCGACGGGGCCAACGGGGCCGAGGGGCGCGGCTAGGGGCGACGGGGTCGACGGGGCCAGCGGGGCCGAGGGGCCGAGTTAGGGGCGGCGGGGCCAACGGGGCCGAAGGGGCGCGGCTAGGGGCGACGGGGTCGACGGGGCCAACAGGGCCGAGGGGCGCTGCTAGGGGCGACGGGGTCGACGGGCGCGGCAAGGGGCGACGGGGTCGACGGGGCCAACGGGGCCGAGGGGCCGAGCTAGGGGCGACGGGGTCGACGGGGCCGAGGGGCGCGCCTAGGGGAGACGGGGTCGACGGGGCCAACGGGGCCGAGGGGCCGAGCTAGGGGCGACGGGGTCGACGGGGCCAACGGGGCCGAGGGGCACGGCTAGGGGCCTAGGGGTCAACGGGCGCGGCTAGGGGCGACGGGCCGGGGCCTAGGGGCAACGGGCGCGGGCCTAGGCTAGCAGGGCAGTAGGTGGTGGGCCCAAAAACAGACCGGTCCTAGGGGACCTGCACTCGAAACAAGCACAGCGCAGGGGGGTATGAGTGAGTGGCAGCCGCAGTGGCAGTAAGCAAGCACAGCTCCAGTGCTCGCTCGCACCGAATCTAAGCTGGTGCAATGCAACGCATGCATGGGCATGCACTGGGGCATATTTGCCGCACACAACACAGCACGCACCGACTCTGAGCACGCGGTCCCAGTCGAAGAGCAGCTCCTCAAACTCCTGCATGGGCAGGTACTTGATGCTGTTCACACAGTGCACTAGGTCCAATGTGTTGTCCAACAGTGGCAGCCGTTGCTGCGGGAGGGGAGACGGAGGGGGAGAGGGAGCGGGGAGAGGGGCCTTTTGGGTCGACTCAAAGCTCCTGCATGGGCAGGGCAGGTAATTGATGCCGCTGACACAGTGCACCAGGTCCAACGTGTTGTCCATCAGTGGTAGCCGTTGCTGTAGGGGGTAGTCGGTCAGATGGGGGGAGGAGGGGACTGGAGGAGGGGAGGGTGCGAGGAGAGGGACCTTCACTTGATGCTGTTCACACAGTGCACCAGGTCCAACGTGTTGTCCATCAGGGGTAGCCGTTGCTGCGGGTAAAGTCGGTTAGTGGAGAGGGAGGAGTGAGGAAGGGAAGATGAGAGTGTGAGTGGAGGAGGGCCGAAAGTGCATTGGAGAAGCGAGTGAAGGGAGTTTTATGGCAGATTTTCAAAACGGGCTCCCAAGTATTTTGGCAACAGTTCAAGAGGCACCTCGTAGCATATACAGCAGAGCCCTGCACCTGATCATACACTCCGTGCCTTGATCTTATTGCCCCCAACCTACACCCTACACTACACCCTACACCCTACACCCTCCACTGCACACCTCACATCCACATCCCACCCCCCACAACCCCTCACCCCCACTTCCGGCCTCACCTTGTGCGACACGTGCAGCGGAATGAGGCCGCGCAGGGCAATGGTCTCCATGTACGGCAGGCCCTGGCGGCGCCCCACACCTCACACATCACACCCGGCGCCCCACACCTACACCTTCAGCCTTACACCCCACACTCGCCACCCACACACTGTCTGCCTCATCTTGTGCGGCACGTGCAGGGGGGTGAGGCCACGCACGGCAATGACCTCCATCTATGGCAGGCCCAGGCGGCGCCCGCGCCCCACACCCTACACCTTACACCCGACACCCCACACCCACCCCACGCCCCCTCATATCCCCTGCCCTCCGCCTCACCTTGTGCGGCACGTGCAGCGGAATGAGGCCGCGCAGGGCGATGGTCTCCATGTATGGCAGGCCCTGGCGGCGGCCCGTGACAGTCTCAATGTTCATGGCTGTGGTGAGCACTGTCACGTTGTACCGAGCCATGTGCGCCGCAAAGCTGCCCGTGCCGCCACCCGCGTCCAGCCCGATCCTGTGGGCGTGCGGGAGGGACAGAAGGGAGATGGAAACAAGAATGGTGGATATATAGTGCATGTGCAGCCCCCCATGGTTGCCGTTGAAGGGGTGGATACAGGCCGGCCAGCAAGACCCCCATGGTTGCCGCCCCGTGACGGTCTCAATGTTCATGGCCGTGGTCAGCACCGTCACCTTGTACCTCGCCATGTGCGCCGCAAAGCTGCCCGTGCCGCCGCGGTAAGGACGCTGCATCCACCCACCCGCGTCCAGCCCAATCCTTGTAGTGAGACGGTGGTACGGACGGTGGTGGTGGTGCGGGTGGGTAGTGTGGGGCGTTAGAGAACAGCTGGTTGTGTGTCAATTGAGCATGCGGAACAAGGACCAGGGATGAGCAGAGGAACACAGCAGCACAGCAGCATGCCCACCTGAGCGACCCCCTCATTGTGGTTAACAGAGGGGGAAGCCGCACAGCCATCACACGCACACACCTGAGCGACCCCTTCATCATGCCCACCTGAGCGACCCCTTCATCATGCCCACCACCTCCTCGATGGACAGCGATCCGCGGAAGGACTTGCAGTGGTGCAGGGGAACACAGCAGAGGAAGACAACAGCGCAGCATAGCATCATGCCTGGGCCACCCACCTGAGCGACCCCTTCATCATGCCCACCACCTCCTCGATGGACAGAGATCCACGGAAGTGGCGGTGCCAGCGGTTGCGCTCGATGCTCATGTTGAAGCACAGGCGACAGTCCCCGATGAGGCGCGCGTTCAGGCAGGCGAAGGACTTGCAGTGGTGCAGCGCCCACCGCACTGCACCGTTTTTGAGAGCACTCTGGCTGAAGAGGGACTCGGGGAATGGCGTGGGCTGTGCAGGGAGGGGTGAGAGAAGGGGGGAGGGGGGGGGCATGTGGATTGTGTGGGGAGAGATGGGGAGTGATGGGGAGAGATGGGGAGTGATGGGGAGTGATGGGGAGTGATGGGGAGCGATGGGGAGAATGAAAGGGGTTTGTTGGGAGGGTTGATAAGTGTGGGGTAAACGAGTGGCGAATGGAGAGGGAAAGTTGGAGGGGTAAGAGCGGTATGGGAAATGAGAGATGCGGGATGTTGAAGAAGCAATCGCGACAACATGGCTACGCAGATTCTCCGGCCACCCTTCCCAGTCCCACCATCCGTCCCACCTCCCTCCCTTCTTCACTCTCTCCTCCACTCCCCGCTACCCTCCCCTTCACCCACCCTCCCCCACTTCCATCTCCCCCCTTCTCTCACCTCCACCAGCTGCTGTGTTGTGCGGGTGAGACAGCGGCGCACGGGCAGGGCGAAGCAGTTCTTGGAGAAGAGCAGGTCCTGCGAGTCAAACCAGTCGTCGGGACACATGCGCTGCCATCCGACCCACCTCCCTCCCCCTTCCAATCCCCTCTACCATCCCCCGTCCCCCCTCCTCCCCCGCTCCCCCCTCCTTCTTCGCTCACCTCCACCAGTTTCTGGGGCGTGCGGGTGAGGCAGCGGCGTACGGGCAGAGCAAAACAATTCTTGGTAAAGAGCAGGTCCTGCGAGTCAAACCAGTCGTCGGGACACATGCGCTGCCATCCGACCCACCTCCCTCCCCCTTCCAATCCCCTCTACCATCCCCCGTCCCCCCTCCTCCCCCGCTCCCCCCTCCTTCTTCGCTCACCTCCACCAGTTTCTGGGGCGTGCGGGTGAGGCAGTGGCGTACGGGCAGAGCAAAACAATTCTTGGTAAAGAGCAGGTCCTGCGAGTCAAACCAGTCGTCGGGACACATGCGCCGCGGCTCGTAGTCCAGGTAGCGCAGCAGCTCGTCTTCCGTGGCGTCGCATGCATACGCCTGTGGGGAGCAAGTTGGGTACCGGCAGGGACGGGATGGAGAATGAGTGTTTGGGAGATGGGAAGGGAGCGCCCGCCAGGACACATGCGCCGCGGCTCGTAGTCCAGTCCAGGTAGCGCAGCAGCTCGTCCTCTGTGGCGTCGCATGCATACGCCTGTTGGGAGCACCCTGGGGAATACAAGCAGAAAGGGAAGTGGGAGTGGGAGAGCTGGGAACGCCGCGGCTCGTAGTCCAGATAGCGCAGCAGCTCGTCCTCTGTGGCGTCGCATGCTTATGCCTGTGGGGAGCAGCGAATAGGGAGGGGGGGTGCAGACGAGGGACGGGGGGTGGGAACGAGTGTGAGGAGATGGGAGAGGAAAGGCAGGGACTGAAGTCCAGGTAGTGCAGCAGCTCGTCCTCCGTGGCGTCACATGCATATGCCTGTGGGGATGATCAAATGGAGAGGGAGATGGTAGGGGGAAAGGGTGAATGGGGGATTGCGAGGGCAGACAAGGTGGGGGAGATGATCGTTAGGAAGGTAAAGAGAGCGCCGTTGCTCATAGATCAGAGGCCGCAGCAGCTCCTCCTCCGTGGCGTCACATGCATTGCATACGCCTGTGGGGAGCAATTTGGGGGAGAGGCAGACGACGAGAGAGTGGTGGGAATGGGTGGAAGGAGATAGGAAGGGAAAGCCGGGAAAGCCGGGAACGTAGTCCAGGTAGCGCAGCAGCTCGTCCTCCGTGGCATCACATGCGTATGCCTGACCGTACCAGGAGCAACCCAGGGAGAGGGGAGCAGTGGGTAGAGTGAGGATAAGGGGTGCAGACGGGGAGGGAAGGGATGGGAACTGCGTGGTGGGACATGGGAAGGAGGCGTTGAGGGTTGTTGTGGTCCAGGTAGCACAGCAGCTCGTCCTCCGTAGCTTCGCATGCATACGCCTGCCAGGAGGGTCTTGCGGGAGAACGGGTGCGTGCGACAAGCGCAACGAGACAAGTATCCCATGCTATGCCATGACATGCCCATGCCCATGCCATGTGATGCCATGCCATGTGATGGCATGCGATAAGATGTGAGTGTGACAGCAGGCATGTGACAGCAGGCATGTGACAGCAGGCTAGCAGGTGCGCACCTTCCATGTGGGCACGGGCGAGGACACCACCATGCCATCGCCATGGCACGACGCCACCACCTCACGCGCCTTGTCCATCACCTGCATCGAACACACAAACAACATACACACGGCGCACACAGGGGGCACAGGGGGCACAGGGGCACAGGGGGCACAGGGGGCACAGGGGCACAGGAGGCTTTCTGTGTTCTTCCCCTCCTTCGCGCAGCAGGCAGGCCTTCCACGCATGCCCTCTTTTCATTGTCCCTGCTGTGCACGCCTTGCCCCTCCCACTTCCGCTCCACCCGCACTCTCACTCCCACTCTGCCACTCTCACTCTTGGTTGCTCGCACTCCCACTCTCACTCCTCGCACCCTTGCTCTAACTCCCACCCTCACTCCTCCTCCCACGTGCACACTCAATCGCACCCTGCCTACTTCCCGCGCCTGGCAGCGTCAGCACGGCACTCACGGATTTGGGCAGCAGGCGGGCCTCCCAGTCAATATCGCTCTCATCAATGCGCTTGTCCAGCTGCATCTTCTCACTGTTCGCCCTCCGCAGCTCCTTCTGCCGTGCCACGTGCAATCATGCAATGCAAGTGGGGAGGCAGAGAGGAGAGAGAACGGTGAAGGCACGTTCTGCTCGCCGTTCATTTTGTTAGGAAGTGAGTAACAGGTGAAGGGACCTGATTGAGACGTGCAAAGAGAAGCTGTGCAAACTGTGGAAGAAGAGAGATGCAGCAGTGGTAAAAGGGTGAATGGTAAGAAATTCTTGGACTTTTCATGCACCAATGGGAACAGCTGCCTCAATGGGCAACATGGTCGACGACGCGGAACATTCAGCGCTTGCTTGCATGACCAAATGGGGAATGGCAAGACAACAAGCAAACCCCACTTGCATGACCATCACTTCACTCTCGCTTTATCCACAACAGAAGCTGCTGAAAAAAGGAGTCCTTCTTGTGTCACAGTTGCTGCAGACACCACCCCATCCCAGATACGTTCGTCCCCGCAGCCACATCTGCCCCACATCCACACCAACTCAACCTGCAAACCGCTCCATACCCCTCCTCATCCCACCCTCACTCACTCATCCCACTTCACCTGCCACCGTGCCATGCTCACCCGTTTCTCGTCCACACTGGTCCCCTTGGCATGCAGGCGGGCCATCTGGTCCTTGAGCTTGTGCCGCCATGACTCGTAAGCCATCAGCCTCCTGCGCTCGCCCCCCACCCCTCTCCGCTCCATCTCCCCTCTCCGCTCTGTTTCCCCTCTCCGTTCCGCTTCCCCTCTCCGCTCCATTTCCCCTCTCCGATCCTCCTCCCTCCCCTCTGCCCGCTCTTCCCTTTCGCTGTGCACATCCCTTGTGCCCTCTGCTGTCCTCGCCAAGGTCTCGGCAGCCCGCATGCTACCTTCTGTGGCGGCTCCCCCTGCTGCTCCGCTCCTTCCTTCAACCACTGCACGGGTGTGTGTGTGTGTGTGTGTGTGTGTGTGTGTGTGTGCCATGGTGTGGCATGATGAACGGCAAGGGGGTTGGGAAAAGCGAGGGAGGAGAACACATTATGACTCAAACCAGTTCAAGAAGGTGCGTAGGGCACCACGAACGACCTGGCTGGTTCTGTTCTGAGGCGCCTAGACATTACCATTGGCACCACCAACGCGTTGGCTGGCCTGGCTCATAGAACGTGAGGTGCATCAGAGTACGTGACCGCATGCATGATGCTAAAAATCCTCCACTCCACGCCAGGTGCATCACACGAGGAGCTCATGCAATGATGGGATGGCACCGGAACGTGTAAAATGTGCATGCACGCACACGTGCGTGTCACCTGCCTGCGCCATACACGCTGTGGTACCATTGCCGCAGCCCCGCCAGCTCCTCCTCACACGCCCGCTGCTCCCCCCGCCTGCTGCTCACCACAGCAGCGCGTGGAAGGGACGGAAGGGGAGAGTGCAACGGACGGGAGAGGCGGTGGGGAAGAGGAGTCGGATCAGATCAGAGGATGTTTATGTGCCCAGGGATGGAGGAGTGGTGGGAAAGAGAATGGGACTCAGGAGGGTATGCAACGAGCTTCTGAACGAGGAGCGGGGGCGGGTGTGGGGGGCCAAGAGCGAAGGCCGAGTGTGCGGCGTGGCGTGGGTGCGTTGACTCAAGGCAGGCGCGATGGCGAAGATGCTTGCTGCATCGAGCGTGCTGCGTGCTGCGTGGTGCCCTCACGCCACAACACCACGGGCGGTACTAATCACGCCTCACAGAGGCGCCTCGCGCTTGAGCCCGCCGGGGGCGGCGCCACGGCGGCGGCAGCACCGGGCCGCAGCTCCCCTAGCGTTACAGCTGCGATGCTCAATTACTCGTACAGGATTCTTTTGCGATGCTCCCCTAGCCGCGCGCAAGCCACTGCGCGCACACGCCACGGCGCGCAGCCCATCGCCGCGCGCGTCGCTCCCCGCTGGCTCACCTGGGCTTTTGAGACGTCTCAAATCTCACCTAGGCTTTTGAGTCGTCTCAGAACTCACTTGGGCTGCTGGACGAGCGCTCCGGCCTTTCGCCACAGCCACAGCCACTGCAGAGGAGACTGCACGTGCGAGTCGCCAACGGCCCATCGCAGCGATTCGACAGCGCGGTTCAGTGCGGTGGGGGGGCTTGCGACGGCCGGCCATGAGTCTTGCGCGGTCGCGAGTCGTGATGGCGTTAGTACACCGAAGGTTCGTGGAAGCAGAACTACTAGCGCGAGGAGTGGTGCAAGTGCCACGCCGTGGACGAGAGCTGGCGGCGCGGGGAATCGACGGCGCGGAGAGCGCGCCGCGTGGTGAGGTTGGTAAGCGCGGGCATCCCAGGGCGGTCCGCGATGGCGATGCGGCATTCGTCCGGATGGTGTTTGCATTTGTGGAACGGTGCTGTTCGGTTTGACTCGGTTTGAACGACTCGTGCGTACGCCTGTGAAGGCTCCGCAGGAAAGACCAAACGAGGGTTGATGGATTCGAAGCACGGGGCTAGGGTCTCGGGCTCAACCCTTGCTGCAGTGGTGGGGCCTAGCAGTGCCGCTTTTCCTCCACTATTTGTTTCTTTGTTCTTAGGATGCGTGACTGTGACGTGCCTATTCTGGCTGGCAGAATCCGGAGCGCACAGTATCTTGTGGCAACCTCAGGTAACTTGGCGTGGGCTCTTTGTGGTGCGGGCCTTTCGGGCGGATTGCAACCAATTTCCTCGCTATTTGCTTAGTGAGCTATTGAGTATAGTGGACGATGAAATGCTACCACTATATTTCCTCAAAACAAACATGAACATTTTCTCAGTACCTTCATCCCTGATTCATACGTACACATAATGAGAATAATGTTCTGTCTACTTATAATAGTATTTCATGAGACCAATTAGCATAGTAAGAGTACATGTAAGCTTCAAAATAAAGCTAAATTGCTGTGCACACTTTCTGCTTCGGTGTTATACAGTAGTATACAATCATCCACGTCATCATTTCCATGCGCACCAATCTGAAACATCGTGTTTTCACGTGTCGCCAGCACATCAAGTTTCGATTTCGTTGAAATCCCAAGTGGCCAGACATCGAAATCGCGACTCCCGAGCGGACGTGGGGTCAGCTTACCTGCCCGTCTGCCTCTGCCACCTGGCAAGCCGGCGCCAGTGCTTCCGGAATCCAACCAGTGCGGTGCCCTCTGCTCTCCTTTGGTTGGTTGCTGCTGGAGCAACGATATTAACCCAGATTGGAACAGAAAGCACAAACCAAAGCATCGCATCGCAGCGCAACACGGCAGCAAACAATCTCGTCTCGTCTCATCAAGCGTGCATGTGTGCTCGTCTTGCGCCAATGGCAACCACTTCTAAGTGCTCGTCTCTGCTTTCCCTCCACTGGAGCTTCAACCCCACACAAAGCAGGCACCTAAGTGTGCCTCACTCCACACAACTCATAGCGACTGTCACCTCTCCTCAGCTCCGAATCGCCGCGCCAAGACATGTCCCTCTGCGTCGTCTGCACGTGGTTGCCATGTCGGGCGGCGACCACGACCGTGCCTTCATACGGCGTTCCTCTCCAACCAAGGTAGCTCCTGCTTTTGCGACTATTGAAGACACTCCTTTCTAAATAGGTGGCCCTGTTAGTCCGTGAGATATGGACATTTTGAAGCTAACAACTTCCGTATGTGCTGCGTACCAGTTGATCCATGGAGAGCGGCTCGAGCGACAAACGGGAATCGGCTTGACAAAGCAGAACGAGCTCTTCCTCGGGCGCTTCGCCATGATGGGCTTCGCTGTAAGCTGCTCAAAATCTCATTTTTGTCGCCTTCTTTTTGTCGCTGCAAGGCCCGGTGTTTGATCAGAAATATATAAGTGCACTTTCCGTTTCATGAGACCTCCAACTCTCGTGACCCCAGTTCGTCTCAATAACGATTCTGTCGAAAATTCCGTTATTCAGGCCGCACTGCTGGTGGAGGCCGTGTCGGGGCGCGGCTTGATATTCCACATGCACGCGCACGCGGGCATGCCTGTCACACAGTGCGACCCGCTCGCCCTCTCCCTCGCCGCGCTCTCGCTGCTCATTGCGGTCGGCGCGTTCGGCGATCGAGGGCGCTTCGAGGACGAGGAGCTGCCGGGGCCGGGAAGAGCACGATGCACGATCAAACAGGCGCTGGGTTTGCAAGATCAAGGTGAGAGGGGTGAGGGGAGAGCTGAGAGGGCGGGTGGGAGGAGAGAGGCATTTGAATGGAAGTGAGTGCAGCCATCTCAAAAGATTCAGCGTAGTGACGGATCGTGTGAGGGAGTACGACGCGTAGTCAACCCTCTTTCCCGTACAAGCACCTCGCTCTTCCCACGCTAGGGTCATATCGCTTCTGTGCGTCCCTCTCCTGTGCGTCCCTCTCCTGTGGTGCGTGCGTGCGTGCGTGCAGGCCCGCTGCTGGGGATGAGCAAGGCGAGCGAGCTGTTCGTGGCGCGGCTGGCAGAGCTGGGTTTAGCCGCCACACTGCTTGGCGAGACGCTGACGGGCCACGGCATGTTGGCGCACCTGAACGTGCACACGGGTGTGCCGCTAACGCAGCTGCAACCCGCCCTACTCGCCCCTATCATGTTCCTCGTGCTTGCTGCCGCTCACCCTGGTACTGGCCGCTTCGTTAATGAAGACTGATAGTGCTCATCTGGGATCGATGTGTAGTTGGGGTGATATATGTGAGAATGTACAGGCAGCATGAGGATTTCATCTCCACACATAATACAGACTTCCAAGATTTTGAGGTGAATGGAACCCCATATCAACATTGCAAGTAGTAAACCCTTGAACCAGGATTCACTGCATACCGTGGTACGTCCACATACGGTAATAAGGAAACAACTTCACCTCACCCTGCCTATCGTGCGTACCTTCGTGTGCGGTATTTTCAGCCCATAGTGGCCGAGGATTCTCCCTCTCTCCCAAAGGCTGGGGCTAGAAGGGGGCACGAGGGGTGCAACCCAGCCTTGTCACTACAGCTCTCAACCAGCCTTGTAGCCTGAAATCGGGAAGCCGACCCTTTCGAACCAACTTGTGCGTGCGTGCGTGCATGTGAGCAAATCCAGGACGATCCATGCCTTGTATTGCTCAGGTGAATACCTGAGCGTGTACACAGGATGCTCAACGACTGCACGCGAATTTGGTCTGGCCAAGCTCGACAGCCTGCCCAATTGCAAGTAGTACCAGCCAGTTGCACGCACGATACAAGCCCCTATTTTGATCGCAGCCGTTGAACAGACAGCTTATCACGCTGGCATCCGTCCGTTCGTGAGATATTTTGAAGAAGCTGGTTACATTTCTTCACCTGCCCACTACAGTCCCGATTTTGCCCGTGGCGAATGTTGGCGAGGAAGCGAAATAGGGTTGCTCACTAAACACCCAAATGACGGGAAAAGTTGTGGGAGTCAAACGCGCTTCCTGTGTAGCTCGTAAAGTTGCCAACGGTTGAGGTAGGGGGTTGGTACTGCACCATGCACTCCCACACGCTGAGCATGGAGGTGTCGCCCTTCTTGCCCGTCCACTTAACATCTGGCGACAGGTTCCCCGTGCTGGCCGTGGCGACAGGCTCCCCGCCGGCTTCGGCCCAAGTATCTCCAGTGTTGCCCCAGGTACCGCCGCTACTCGTTCCCCAGCCGTCGTTGCTGCCCGTGTTGGAAACAAGTAACTTAAGCGCCTCTGTCGTGTCGAAGCACTAAGTTATAAGCGAAGCGAAACACAGCGAAGCATCGGCGAGTCAACCCTCGGAGGTTGAACAACTGCTGGAGGTTACGCGAAAGTCAAAGGTCAGCGACCTTTGACCTGACAAGTACAGCGCGACAACAAGGACAAACAACTAACTCGTTATTGAGCAGTTGCCCGAGTCGTCACTGTATCGAAACGCAACAGCAACAGCAAAACAGTTATTAGTTATAACCTTTCATATTCCCTTGTACTCTTATAAAAGCTTGTATCTCTTTGTTTTAATCAATCTACTTTGCCCTCACATACCAGCGCAAGGTGGTTCACAGACTTATCATCAAACGCTTCCGCTATTACATTGTCCTACTCAGAGTTTAGTCCTGTAAAGATCCTAAGGGCTTTCTCGGCCCAACAGCCCGAACCCCCTTTATTGAGGCGCCTTCCTCGACTTTTGCGCCCCATGTGCCGCACGCAATATCTGCGTGCTTCGGCCATGCTCTTCTGGCGAAGCCCTTTGTCTTCGCAGCGCTCCAGCTCCTCTTCGATGGTAAGTTTCTTCTTGGGGTCGCGCCAGTTGGGGTAGACTTTCAGGAACTCCTCTTTGCTGTAAGGTCGTGCCACTCCGCGCGCATCGAATGTTCTCCGGCGCCGTCCGCGTAGGATCCCTTCAAGCTGCTCAGCGGCTGTGCCAGGGAAGGGATCTTATGGAGTTCCAAAGACATTGTGCGTCGCAACTTCAAGTTCCAGTGCCGACATTCCTTCGTCCGGCGGTGCGTAACGTTCAGCTTCGGCGATGGCGGCGAGCCCTCGTCCTGCGATCACGTTCATCGATGTAGTCGGCGTGTGACAACCTCTGCCGATGCCATCGGGGTCGGGGTCGTAAAGCGCAGTACCGAGACTGAAGACGAAAAGGCAGAAGTGACCCGAAGGGTCATGCGGTTACGAAGTGTCAGAATGTGTTATTTGTCTAGTCTGCAGTGGGGTACTCTACAGTGAGTACAGCCCAACTAGGATTTGCTATATGTATCCCATTGCTTGCTAGTGAAAGCCCTCTTTTCTGTTTCAACTTTGTGCCTACTATTCTGACATGCTATCAGAGCGAGATCGCTCCTAGCCTGTAGGCCCACCTGCTTCCGCTGCTGTCCTACTTGTCGCGCGCCTCGGGCGCGCGACGTCTTCTGCCTGCCGCGCGCCCTGCGCGCGTGGCGTTTTTTTCTTCCCGCCGCGCGCTTCCGCCACGCTGCCCGCCGCGCGCCCCGGGGGTCCACGCGCTGTCCCCTCCCGTCGCCCGCCGCGGCGTCCCGGGGGCCCGCGCGCCGCCCCCCTCCCGTCGCCCGTCGAAGCGCCCCGGGGGCCCGCGCGCCGCCTTGCCCGTCGCCCGCCGCGGCGCCCTGGGGTCCCGTGCATCGCCCCCCCCTCCCGTCGCCCGTCACGGCACCCCGGGGGCCTGCGCGCCGCCCTGCCCGTCGCTCGTCGCAGCGCCCCAGGTGTCAAACATTCATGCTATAGTCTTGCTAGGCTGTAGTGGGGTAGACACTATGGGGTACAGTTTCCTAGGGTTTCATATTTGTACCCAACTCATTTCTAGTCACATCCATTTTCCTCATAATTATTTCACATGGTATAGAGCGAGTTCCCTAGTGGGAACGTTTTTTTAGGGCCCACCACTACGAAAATATTTTTTTTTCCTTACCTGCCCGGAGCGCGCTTCGCGCCTGCCTTAGTTGCGCCCCGTGCGCCTGCCCCCCTGTCGCGTGCCCTGCCCTTAGCGGCCCGTCGCGCCCCTTACGGCCCCTTCGTGGCCCCTTCTCGGCCCTCCGCGGCCCCTTCCGTGGCCCTTCGCGGCCCCCTCACGGTTCTCGCGGCCCTCTTCGCGGCCCTCTTCGTGGCCCTCCACTGTTCTCCCGTATCCTGCGGCTCCATCCGGCTCGCTATCTGGTCTTCACCTCCCCTCGTTCTCTACGAACTTGGTGGCGGGTGCTGACCTTCAGGATGGGGGTGTTCACCAGTTCACCCCTGCCTATCAGCGTGTGACACACTGCACGTGTGCTCGGACGGGTCGTCACCTAGCCACGTTTACCCGTCGGCCAGGGTCCAGCCTGTACACCCTTACCACTGACTCTCCTCCTGTCACTGCGACTGGTCAGGTAACCGCGTCGGGTCAGGTGTTTGCTGCAGCGTCCCGGTCTGGCCCTGAGTCTGCCCCTTGCTCGTGCCGCCTCCTGTCTCACGAGACTCTCCTTTGGCACCACCGCCTTGGTCACCCCTCCCTGCCTTGTCTCAGAGGCATGGCCTCTCGTGTCCTTGTCTCTGGTCTCCCCCCTTCCCTTCCTCCTCTTCCTTCGGGGCCTGCCCCTACCTGCGTTCCCTGCGTCGAGGGCCGGCAGCGCGCCGCTCCTCACTCCTCCGAGTTTCCTCCGACAGAGGCTCCCCTGCAGACTCTTCACATGGACGTGTGGGGCCCAGCCCGCGTCCGTGGACAGGGTCACGAGCGCTACTTCCTGCTGGTTGTTGACGACTACTCGCGTTACACCACAGTCTTCCCCTTGCGCCGCAAGGGTGAGGTCACTGAGGTATTGATCGACTGGATCCGCGCTGCTCGTCTCCAGCTCAGAGAGAGTTTCGGCTCAGACTTTCTTGTTGTGCGTCTGCACTCAGACAGAGGTGGAGAGTTTTCCTCCGACCTTCTGCAGGCCTACTGTCGGGCGGAGGGCATCCGCCAGATGTTCACGCTTCCGGCCTCTCCACAGCAAAATGGGATTGCTGAGCGCCGCATTGGCATGGTCATGGATGTCGCTCGTACGTCCATGATCCATGCGGCTGCTCCCCATTTTCTGTCGCCGTTCGCGGTTCAGTACGCGGCGCATCAGATCAACCTCCAGCCCCGGGTCTCCATGCCGGAGACCACTCCCACTCTGCGGTGGACGGGGAAGGTTGGCGATGCGTCTGCGTTCCGTGTCTGGGGATCTCGAGCTTTCGTCCGCGACTTGTCTGCGGACAAGCTGTCCTCCCGTGCCGTTCCCTGCGTCTTCCTTGGCTTCCCCCCTGACGCGCCTGGCTGGCAATTTTACCACCCCACCTCGCGCCGTGTTCTGTCCTCTCAGGACGTCACGTTTGACGAGTCGGTTCCCTACTACCGTCTCTTCCCCTACCGCACTGCCCCCCTCCCCCCCCCGCCGCTCTTCCTCGCGCCAGGTCCTCCCCAGGTCGACCCCCTCCCCCCTCAGGGTCCTGCCCCCTCAGGTGTGTCCCAGGTAGACGTTGTCGAGCCTATCGAGGTAGCTGTTGACTCTGGTGCTGCTAGGGGTGCTGAGCCTGCGGGTGCTGGGTCTGTGGGTGCTGAGCCTGAGCGTGCGGAGCCTGGGGGTGCTGAGTCTGGGGGTGCTGAGCCTGGGGTTGCTGCGTCTGGGGGAGCTGAGACTGGAGGTCCTCCGAGTGTCCCGTTGCGACGGGAGCCCCTCTCTCCACGGCAGCTTCGTGAGTGGTACGCTAGGCGCTGTAGCCGTGCTGCTGGAGCTGGGGGGCCTACTGCTGGAGGTGCTACTGGTGCTGGAGCTGCTGGAGGTGCTGCTGGTGCTGGAGGTGCTGCTAGTGCTGGAGGTGCTGCTGGTGCTGGAGGTGCTGCTGGAGGTGCTGCCAGTGCTGGAGCTGCTGGAGGTGCTGCTGGTGCTGGAGCTGCTGGGGCCGCTGGCCCTGGGGGTGCTCGTACTGGAGGTCCTGGAGCTACTGGGACTGGAGCTGCTGCGGGAGTTGGAGGTGCTGGTGGTGCTGGAGCTGCTGGTGGTGCTGCGGGAGTTGCAGCTGGAGACCCTGGAGCTGAGGGTGCTGGTGCTATCTCTGCTGGTTCTGGAAGCACTGCGCGGCCACGGCCGTACTTCGTTCCGCTCCTTCAGCAGGTTCTTGGTCTCCTGCCTACTGCTGGTCCTACTCCCTCTTTAGAGTGTCCTCTGCCTGTCCAG